GCACATGCCAAATGCACTGACTAACCACTGAAATATGACTAGAGATATGATCGAGCTTGCATAACTAACTCTGTTGAGTAAGTTGATAACTGTAATCATAAGATTATAGTTAAAGCTGTTAATGTTCTACTAAACATTCTTATAATAATAATAATGTATTATAGTTATAATAGTATTATATAATATTCTACCAACTTTCAACTGTTTTAGTTTTGTGTACCAAAAGTTTACTCTATTAACAAGTTGCAGAAACTAAGGCAAGAGCTTTAACTATTTACCTATGCCTTATAGGCGCTAACACTTTATAACACCCAGTTGCATAGCACACATACATACGCCTCATAGGTCCTACGAGTTTATTGCCGCTGTTTTACAACTTTATGGCTGCCCTTTTATAAGCCATTAAATAAACTTGGTCATAAAATAGAAACGGCTCTGTAGTCAATGTGTAGGGAAAATCAAATCGTGATTTAAATTTCAGCAAGTCTTTTAAATGTATTTTTTGTACACTCGTATAATTACTTTTTGCTCAGAGTTTTCTATAGTACGCTAAATGCTTTCTTAACTATATATCAAAGCTGCCTGCTGCCTCCCTGACTGCCTGAGTGTAAGCTAAAGCTATCGAAAACATTGTTTGTCAGCATTTTCAAGGTTGCTGCCAGCCCCCTGAGAAAGTACTATATATACACATACATATAGAGTCTCTTATATGTGTATATATATATATTTGTTTTGTATAATATCTATTGTCGTTGAAAGCTGCTGGGATTTACGTAATCTCAGCGCCACTTGGGAGCAGCAATTGAAAACGAAAGCAAAACAAATATAAAGAAAAAAGTTGAGAAGTCCAAAGATAGGCGTTTCAACTGTGAGGTTATGTAAGCAGCAGCAGCAGCAGCAGCAGCAGGGAGGCAGGCAGCATCCTGCTCCTGCTGCCAGTTGACATTGTGTTGTATGGTAAATGTCAGCGAAAGATATCTAATATTTCAATCTGGCGGAATTTTATAGAATTTAATTTAATTTTGAAATGAAGATAGATATACATAAGTATGTATGTATAGATGGGTGTTTTTTGTTGCATAAAATTCATTTGGCATCTGTTCAAATATGTATGTGTATATATCTGAATATATATGTGTTTATGTTCGATACAGTATTTAGACAAGTCTGTTTCGATGTTTACGATCAAGCAGGTTGCCTTTACCTTGTATACGCATATACATAAAGCATATATATGTATGTATATACATGAATATATATCTAAAGACAAATTTTTATGAGCATTTCAAAATCAAGTTCAAGAAATTCAGAAACTATGGCA